TTCACGTATAGAGATGATGTCCGAGCAGGACGTCGTCCGTCATTTGCAGCCAAATAAGCTTCGACCTCTTGTTTCAAACGTTGGCGTCTTTGCTCTTCAGTTTCGGCTTCTCTAGCTTCAAGTAGATGCAGTGCACCAGCCCGTCGCAGCTTCTCGTATAAGGATGAACGCGACTTCGGCCTCTCCCCTGGATGCAGTCTCTGAAACTCTATCACTTCTGCTCGCAAGGCCGCTTCCTTCTCCGCGGCCGAAGCTTTTGCTTTGCCTTTCGGACCAAAGGTCGGCCAGTTCACAGCGAACCAAATGGCATAAAACCACGACGGTTCCGGCCATGGCAAATGCATCAGCAACAAAGCCGTGTAGGCCACGCACAACTGCTTGTTGGGCGCGCGTACCCCCAACAAAGAACGATAGCAGCCACACCAGCAGCAGTGCCACCTGTACAGAACATACGTCACTGCAATCACCTATTAACACAAGATGGAAAACTCGTTCCCTTAAATGACATTCGACCCCCACTCGCAAGCACTGCAACACGATACGTGACTGCCGGCACATATCAACACAAAATGAACAAGTCATTCCCTGCAAATGACCAATCGACAACATTTACAAACATCATTCACGATCATAAGCATTCAACTGGTCTGGCAGCAGGTCAGCTTGGTGCGCGCGGAGACTCTCTCCACACCCACATTGGCTCGCTATGCTCCCGAGCCACCGTCGCTGCATCTTCATCCTTCGGTGCATGCGCTGATCACCGCTGAACAGACATCAACATCACATAGAGTCACCGCTGAACACAAATCAATACCACATAGCATTTCAAGCACAATGTCCCCCACCTCTGCCCGCCACAGCGTGTGCCAGACGCCAATCGACTGAACTGCTTGCCATACTGCTGCCTCTGCCGGACACAGCCGAAGCGAAATCAAAACACATCGCGCTCATCAAACAATACACTTTCACAACGGTCCTCAGTCCCTAACAGACATGGTCCTGGTCCTAGCGAGCTAGTGTGACAACAGTCACGCAGCACGCGTGTCTCCAATTATCTGCTGGCCTCGCACTGTAGCGCTGCCACGCCGAACTGCCACACACCACACGCCGTCGCCAGGAGCAACGGCAGTAGCAGCAGCAGTACACTGGTCGCCGGGTCCGCGCACAGAATCCCCAGCCATGACAAAAGCAGCAGCAGCAGCGCCATGCCAGCCGCAGGGCGATGACAGCGTCCTCTCGCTCCGCGCGCCGCCGTGTGTCTGCGCCGCCCGCACAGCCGACATGGTCGCAGCTTCACCTGGACTGAGCCACGGTGACAAGCCACGGTAAGCCATGTCCACATTTTGCAGACGTGCTGTACTGCAATGAACGTTGTCCTGCAGGAATGTGTCAGGTATGTGTGTTATGCTCAGCAGCGACCGCCGCTCCAGAAGCTACTCCATACAGCGGTCTCACTTGGTCACAGAAGCTGCATGCGTCCGCGTTTCCTAACGACGACCATCCCGAAACACGGCTGAAACTTCATCCATAGAGTTGTCTGACTGCGGAACAGTCGCTTGCTGTGTCAGCGTTTCATTCCGTGTCACGCTTGCGCCGCTCCACTTGCTCCGCGTATTATGCTCTTCCTATCGATGAACATACTGGAGGACGGGTTACACCCGACGAACCGGAATGCCCACGCACACCCCCCTCTACATGCGCTAGCAAGACTCTTGTAGGACACTCTTCTAGGAAACTCTTGTGCGACACTCTTGTCGGACACTCTTGTGGGACAC